ACGTACCGTAGAATAATTATCGGAACATATAGATACCACAGAAACTCTGAAATGGCCAGAGTGAAGGGCACGTATAAGATCAGCAAGTCTCCAACACGCAAAGCGCCGAAAGGCAAGGCAGGGGATCACAGGCTCCATGAGGTCAAGCGAGGCGCGGACGGCAGGAACTGGGTGGTGGGGAAGAGGACCGACGGCACCAAGTTCTGGCACCACCAATCCATCGGAAAGAAGTCGACTCCCGGCAGGAAACTCCCCCCTTGGGCGGCATCCTGCTTCAAGTACGGCACCCACAAGCGGGGACTAGACGGGTGCGTCTACAGCGCCTTCAAACCCCGAGGTGGAAAGATCTTGCGGTGGAGACACACCACAGGCGGCCCCGAATGCGGCAACTGGTCGAAAGGACCCCCACGGCAGGCGCCAACCGAGCCCGCAGGTCAGTACCCATCGAGAACCAGGAAGAAGGGGCACGACGGGCGCATGTGGAGGGTCGTCAAGCACAGCAACCACGTCCACGTCTGGCACCGGGTGCCTAGAGCTACATGATCACTTCTTGGTCCACACCTTCCGCGTCGTGGCAGCCTGTCGAGTCTTGGCCCTCGGAGAACGTCGCGCTGAAGCAGTCGACGTCTTCCTCCTCGCAGCCCGGCCGTGCGTCGCACATCTGTCCCCTACCAACGCAGTCATCTTGCACCTCTTTTCCAGAACGGTCAGAGCGGCACAACGAATCATAATAGAGAACATGCAATCAGTGAGGGATATTTAAAGTAGACCAATGGTCGGCGTCCACATGGTCCGTTGTTAGGCATACGCCTTGATACATGAGTAGCTCCTTACGCTTACAGCATTGTTGGTGTTGCTCGCGAATCCATCTTCATCACCGCATTACGGCTTTGCAACCTTCATGGATCCAGACGGGATGCCCCGCCGGAGACTGAACGGGGTATGGGTATCGGTTGCACTGCGCCGTCGCGTCGGCCCCTCCGGCGGCCTCCGCGTACAGCTCGGCGGCGCGCGCCTCGTCCTTCTCCACGCCCGTGCCGCGCTAGTAGCAGACGCCCATGGAAATGAGATCAAAGGCCGGACTTTGTGGAGCGCATAGGTGCTCTGATGTTGCAAGGACGCATCATTAATCATCGTTTGGGCAACACTGGGACGAGTGAAATCATACGACAGAAACACGACGAGTGAAATCATACATGGAGTGCTCTCATAACATTTGAGCAAGTCTACGAGGGAAAAATCAGAGGAGATTCACTGCGGTCGGGAGCATCTTCTACTTCCAGCTCGGTCTGGCATCGGCCAGATTCCCCTGCTACTCCATCGATTGCGAGATACACTTAGTCAGAAAGTTCTGGTGTATCCAGGAGGACCACGGCTGGCGAGACGTGCTGTTTCCGGAGCACGAGGATATCTCAATGAAGGAGTTTGGCCCGTCTCGAGAGAAATAGGTCCTCCTGCCTCCTTTCGACACGCACTCCATGTCCATACGCCTGCACCACAAGACGGCGAGGGCCATGATGCAGTGGAGACACAGAACTTTCAAGGCCAAGCTCCTGGAATGAGGTCCCAGTCGAGGCGTGCGTGTCATGATAGTGCCAAGGCGTACAGCAGCAAGACTTGTGTGGATCGTGCGGGTGGCTGCATCACAGCCTCGGTGGGAACAAGATGTATGAATGTAGGAGATGTGGAGGAGCAATAGACAGGGACCACAGTGGCGTCTGAAATACTTTCCTGAGAGCAATGCGATCAGGATAAGCCCCATAGGAACCCGGTGCACCGTGGGGATGGGTCGGAGAGATAGCTCCCAGTCTCAGAAAGTTCGAGAGACTTGGCACTAGGCGATAAGGCCGATATCGTACGGTGCACAGAGACTTGAGCAGTATTTCTCAGGTTTCAAGTATCGGAGTCCAAAGATGCCCCGGAGTTGAATAGATTCTTTGCAGGAAGATTGCTCGAATTTTTGGGATGCACCCCAAAGATGAAAACGATCAGGCTTTACCACGTTTTACAATTCCTCCATGACTGCAATGAGATTCGCTTTCGTGTCGAGAACTCGACCACACCAAACGTGCTCGTATGTTTTTTGGCGGAAAGAGTACCGCCATATATGGGCCTCCTGCTCCATCATATTGCGACATAAGACCATGTATGTACCAGGAATAGTAAATTGTGCGACCGCGTACCCACTTATGTCGATCACACGCTTGCCGGCCACCTCCTTGATGAACACACGAATTTCTGATGGAATTCCATCCGGAATCGGCTGCGCAAAAGTCAAAGGATGGATGTGCACATTTTTGTTCGTAAGAATTTCCAATACTCGTGCTACGAATGTATCTTTGAGAACCGCAGGCTTTGCTCGTTGTATTTTAGACGCCCCCGCATCATGTCATATGTTGTTCAAAAAAAGCTTCCTTCCAATCCTTCCCCGGGAAGCGTTGTAAAGTCGATGGGTACACCTATGAGCCAAGTCACGAAGTCGCTATTCATCGCCTAATTACGCTGATTCCTTGGAGTGCTGCGTTCGTTTTTCAGTTGCGTCGTCAAAATATTACAGGAAGCTGTATCCCCATAGCACGGCGTCGAACAACACAGAGCGCCTGCTAAAGGGGCGGCATAAGCCGCGTCGATATAGGGCAAACAAATTCCTCGGGATCATTAAGACCATTCATGGCGTCGTCTCGCTTGGTAGCCACCCGCTTTCAGCCTAATCGAGCAGCCGTACTGCCTCCTCCATCCGAGAGACAGCACCATCTTCAATCGGTCCCCCTGCAGAGGGCACAGAGGGTTTTCAACACGACAACCACCAAGTACCTCCAGATGCTAGCCCGTCTAAAATGGGACAGGGACAGGAAGGGAGTGGGGTGGTGGATGCGCGAGACATCCGAACGGATGGCCCCTGTTCGTAAAACAGGGGCCATCACCACCACTGAGACGAATTTCGTGCAATTCGTCTCAGTGCGTGGGGAGGGTCTGATCCCGAGATCCTAGAAGAGCTGGTCAAACTGCAAGACTCTGTCACTCCGTTCGACTCTAACTCTTACCAGGAACTCTTGTAAAGTTACAGTGTGCCGCCAGGCGCGGCACCCATTGCTTGTGGGTCAGTGGCTGCAGTTTACAAGGGCCGCACGCGGGACGGCGAAGCAGTTGCGATCAAGTTCGTCCGGCCCAACCTGTGAGACTCATTCCTGCAGGGGCTCAACGACATGCAATCCTTCTGCCAGATTCTGAAGAGCTTGCGCGTGGAAGGGAGCGAAAACATCTCGGAGATGCTCACAGAGATACAGCCGGTCATCCTTGGGGGAAACGGACCTTAACAGGCGCACAACGCAAGGGCATTTCGAGACTCCTTGGAAAGGGTTGGTCCGGGTGCCAGAGGTGCTGGCAAGCTGGAACGGCTGGCTTGTCATGGATTATGTACTGATTGTAAAGATTGACGACGTGGAGAATGTCAAGGACCGCATCTCGGCGCGGATGGTGTCGCTCCGATTTGCGGCATGTTTCGCACCTAAAATAATCCAGAACGGGCTCTTCCATGCAGACTTGCACAGTGGAAAACGCCGGAATAACGGAGGAGGGACAGCTAGTGTTTTACGACTCCGAGGCCGTCATCGCCCTCGGAGACTCGCCTAGAAAGTATATGAAAGACCTCTTTCGAGCGTTCACGACAGAGAACGCGCAGACGGTCGTGGACTCTTTGGCGGGCATGGGAGTCCTGGACCTCAGCAAGTGTCGCAACTCGAGGGACACCAGGAGCCTCACGGAGGCGGTCCAGGCGGTCATGGGACAACTGCTACAAGCAGGCAACCCAGAGGGCGTACATGCCATAGTAAAGGAGCAGAAAGATCTCAGGAGGAACCAGTCGCGGGTGTTCAGGCCCAGGCTCGAGTTCCTGTACTTGCTCAGAAACTCTGGCATGGTAGATGCAACTTGCCGAAAGTTGGACCCCCTTTGGGACTCTGCGGAAACTCTTAAGTCTATCCTGCCCAACCCTCCAATGGATTCGGCTCTCCTTGCGGTCGTATGGCCCGAGAGGTCTTTGTGGACACCCCGAACTTGGTGAAGACGCTCCCGACGAGCCTTCAGAGCATCAGAGAGAAGACAGACGTATTGCGAGACGACTTGAAGATTAATAGGAACATTCTGTATATATGGCTGACCCTAGTCAGCGTTATACCGACAAACCATTCATGCGTTTATATTCGAGCGAATGGAGTATACACTGGATGGAAATAGAGCCGTTGCCGCATTGTGAGCCAAGTGTGAGGTATGCATTGATATTGTCATTTCTATTGATAACAACGGCCCAGGGAATACTCGAAGTTGTCGACATAATTGAATTCTTGGAAGCCCTAAGGTAGGAAGGAGACGTGTTATCAATCTCTTGCATATTTGTTGTGCTTGACTGCAAAATGTATGCGATGCAGCACTTGGTTTCTTGATCAAGAACGGACTCTTCCAATCTCAACTCTGTTGAGGGTACGCCATCCATGACCGAGGGCACTCCTGTACTAGCCATATTCCAGAGGTATCCTACATGTTTACAATTTATCATCTACCTACGACTGTGCTTGTGGAGACTGGAGATTGCATTGCACGCGCCGGCGAGTATGTGAAAAACACTCGTGACTGTCTGGTAAGCGTTCCGGACCAGGTCATCAATATTATGTACGCATCTTTGCCTAAGTAGCGGTGCAAAAGGCATGAATTTGTATATTGTCGTACATCAATGTAATCGGTGACAAGATCCGATCGATATTTCATTGATTTCAGTCCTATGCGTCAATCTCAAGCTGATCTAACAACTTAAGGGTTCGCTAGAAGTGACGCAAACATTGTTTTTATCGCATCAAAAACCGACTGTGTTCGTAAAATGGCAAGGATTAACTAAATTGATTACCTACCAGCTAAGTGAGTCGTAAGTACGGTAAGTTGTACCGCGGCTCTCTGCTTTCTCTGCTTTCTTATCTCAAAGAATAGATATCCAGAGAATCCGCCGAGCAGGACCCACAGAATGATAAGGGCTGAACATAGAAGAGAAGCCCCCACAATCAACGTTGCACTCTTGGCTTGGTCCTTCAAAGCGCCTATCAGAATCAAAACGCTACCCGGTACTGCTAAGAGTATGTGAGCCATTTTCAAAGAAAAGATAGTCCACCATGACCTGATCAGTGATAAGCGCATTGGCATGAACAAGCCTAGTAAAGTTGCAGCTAACCCACTACCAAAAGCCCACCAGGCAGAAAACTTTGTTGATGAGGAGGTGCTCCTCACGGCTGTATTGAATGCCCCAGCAGAAGCGACGGTGAAAACCACCAGATATACAGCGGATATCCCTATTTTTGAAGGCGATAATTCATCAACCACACGGTGGCCAGAAGCATCTCTCTGCAACAACGATTCTACTGTCAGCAGAAATTGATCGAGCAGGGCCATACCAACAAGATAATTTGCATCCAAATCAACATGGACAGAGCAGCGAATCCAGCTACAGCAGGAATAAATCCGTGATGTAGACATGACAGCATACAAAGCGGGTTTCTCGTAACATTTGACTGTACAGAGCTTGTCAAAAGCGTGTCAACAGGCCTCGTCCAGGACCAAGTAACTACTTTCCGCAGTAACCTGTATGATAAATTCCATGATCTCAGAACAATGTTTTCAGAGGTCATGCATGCTTGTAAACTCTTGCTTTTACTACACCTTGCTTGGCAGAACTCTATCAGCTCCTTACATCAGCACGAACTTGTGAATCCCCTCCCACTTCTTGTGACCCTTGCCTCCCTTCCTCCAATTCTTCCTCCACTGCTGAAGATCCATCAATAGGGATCTGCACTTGAGCACCCTCTGCACAACTTGCCCTCTCGTATAGGAATTTTGCGATGAGGAAAAAGATGAGGAGCGCCCCAGTTGTTGCTATAATCACCCAGGCAGTCGTCCTCTTGTCAAAATCTAGGGTTGCGAAAAGCAGAGCCAGGATTGCAGAGTAGAATGACAAGGTGAGGAAGATCCACACTGATCTAATCAGGATATACAGGTACCCAGTTGCCCATGTTGAGAGGAACACGTCCCTTTCCATACCGGTATATGCCGCAACCAGCTGACTGACTCCAAATGCATTGAAAATAGTCACTACAGATAGCACAAACGAAAGTGTGACACACACTCGGTATGCTTGCCCCGCCCATGGTCCAGAAGGACTGCTGAGGTTGCTGTCTGGAAATGGAGCAGTAATTGAAGGGAACGTAGAGGTTGTTAGGAGCCCAGAAACAACCAGAACGGTCTTCATTAGACTTGACAGGCTCTTGTTTGTTGGGGGTTTCAGAATACCTTGCCAATAAACTTGACTCTTCACATCCTCTCCAAAAACCAGCTTGAATAAGATGTCCCCGACTGCTTCCATACAGCCCCTAGAGCCCCTAGAGCCCCTAGTGCTTAGAGGACCCATTGTGGTCCTTGATCACCCGCTCGACGCGTGATTCACTTGTTGTGTAGCTCTGCGCTTGAACTCGTCCTTCTTTGCCTGACTAATATTCCCTGTATAGACCTGGATCTCAGAAGGGAGTCGTTTGATGCCTATGTCCGGGCAACAACCAAAAACACCAAAGATTTTCCCACAGCTTTCAAAAAACTTCCGCGACTTCGACTTTGTACGTGTTGCTTCAGAATGTTCACCTCCAGCACCCACATTAGGCTGCTGTGCGCTCATCGAGGCCCTTCATCAAGTGGCTGGAACCAAGGTGCCGAAAGCCTTTCTGACTACTATTGCCTCTCCTCAACGAGCAAACCAGCCCTCTTGAAACCAGCCTCGGAAAAAGCAAATACCGGAACACGGCTGCATGCCGTCCCTACTTTTTCCGCGTGAGCCCTCACGTGTTCCATTTTCGATGGGGGCCTGATCTTTGTTCAACGAATCAGAAGTTACCGGATGGCACATGCGGAAAGTTGAACGGCCAAGATGCCAGCAATTTCTCGGCATTTTCGGCGAAGTATGTGAACAGAACAGATGGGCCTGCAATCATTCTAGCACATCGAACTCTTCTGCTGAGCTGTCGCTGTCGTCAGCGCAGCGCTGTTTCCGCGAAAATTCGGGTTCCTTCCCTTTGAAGTGGGTGACACCCCCTTAGGTATCCACTTGTATCCCGTTAAAAAAGGGGGGGTGGTGCTCGTTTTTTAGGGAATGCCGTAAAGAAGTCCAATAGCCTCAATGTTTGAAATAGATTGGTTTTTATTGACGAGGCGCGCTTGGATTGCTTCAGCCAATCGAAGGTAGGGAGGGGGGGGGGGCTAGAGGCATTTGGCTTCGGGAGACCCCCCGATCGGATTTCAGCTGAAGAGCATGCTGATTTACAATCTTTTAGCCCAAGGGTGAGAGTTTCTAGACCAATGTACGCAACATTGAAGCACTTCTCGACATTGAAAAGGGCGGATTTATGCTTACAACAGTGCATTGGTCCAGAAGTTTGCCCGGGTGGCCGCAATATAGACCGGGGCCTTCACCATATCGGTGAACACAAGGTCGGGAGGAAGGAGGGAGGGGGGGAGGGAGAGGGGGCGGGCTTGAGACCCTCCAGCCAAAGTGCCTCTAAAATACTTAACCCACTGCCATATCAAAGTGACGGTGCCTTTATAACGAATTATTTTGTTTCCACTTGTCTCTTGCACTTTGTATTGGTAGATCTTAGCCACATCTTGAGGTCTGACTCTTTGGAGACAGGCCTTTTCTCTCGGGCTTTTATTGTTCATTTCCCACATGCCCTTCTAGCCATACCATAAAATTTTGCGGGTAATATTTTCGTAGCACTTTACTGGAAACCTGAAACTTATTGCAACCTCGCGAAAATGGGCCATTGAAGTAGTAAACGACCATGACGAAACGGGAACCTATTAAAGAGCAATAATAAAATCCTTTATTAAATTGTAGATGAGTGCGCCGACTACCGCTAAATGTGGATACTTCAACGTATGACTAGGCTCAGGTGTCCAAGACGTAGCATCTGAACAATCAAGCTCTACGAGCATTGCACGCAACTAACGAGCATGTCGCTGAGTACTTCCTGCAGGGCGGAAACTCGGATAATTTGTCCGCCAAATCCGTCAGCTTTTACCACCCGTCTTTGACGACAAGCCGATTATTGGAGAGAAATCTGAGCTCTTGGTCGTTCAAAGCCAGGAATTTGCAGCAGCTGTAGGTCCTCTAGGCTGCCCATAGATGGCGCCTGGATATATTTTGCTTCGGAGAGATGCCTGAGCTGGCAACTCGGATCTAGATCGAGTGCTTGGATGAATATAGTATTTAAGAATTATCTATGCGATCGTGAGTTTTTCTAAGAGTCTACTTGGCACCGTTGAATTCCCTGCGTCCAGAGGAGCACATATCATCTCGTCCGCAAGCGAAAGTTCGTGGTTGCGTCCACCACTCTCGTTTTTGTTTGTCCTACTCAAAGCACCATGGACAATACGAAAAGCCTTGGTTCGTGCGCCGTTGCATGCAAGGGCTTGCGTACGACGGTCTACGCAGATGGACATTGCTGATGTGTCGAGTGCGTGGCATGAGTGGGTTTTGGCCAAGAAAACACATGCATTGTGCAAACAGGCCATGGAGAGTTCTGCATGGAACTCAAACTGGATCTACTGAGAGACGGGCGAACCGACTGGTGGGAATGTGCTATGTGCGAACGTGCGGTTCGCACAGACGATATCTACATCAATCCCACGACTCTGCCTAGGACACCCCCTGCCTTTCCTATGATGATGATGAAGAACGCAATGAAGAGAAAGATACATGAGAAGCAAACCGAGGCAGAATTTGCAAAGATCATGCCTGCAAATGCCGCTTTTGCACAGTTGCACTCATCATGCTGTGACTGTAATTCCTCATCACTCTCATCACTCACGGTATAGAGGCCGTGAAAGAGGTATTTGATGTTGACTAATTTATTTCTCGAATCTTCTCGATTCTTCTCGAACCTTATCCAAAGCTGCCACATCATCTGATCTAAGACGAGCACGAAACGCATCCTTCCTCCATACTACATGCGGGCGCGTCCGCATCCGCATCCGCGGTGCCCTTGTCGCTCTCCACGGTGAACTTGGTCGCAGTCGACGCCGGGCGGGTCCTCATGTAATAGCACACCGTCTTCAGCCCCTGCTTCCATCCGTATATGAGCATGTTGCTGAGCTTCTTCAGGTTGGGCTCCCTCTGGTAGAGGTTCAGGCTCGCGCTCTGGCACACGAATGGCGCCCTGTCCCGCATCATGTCGATGTATGCCTTCATCGGTACCTCCCACGTCGTCTTGTAGAGAGACCGCAGGCTCGAGGGGATGCGCTCGATGCCCTGAACGGAGCCCTCGTCCCGGACCAGCTCCTGCTTCAGGTCCGGAGTCCAGAGGCGGGACCGGACGAGGTCGCGCAGCAACCAGCGATTGATGACCATGAACTCCCCGGACAGAGTCCTCCGGCTGTACATGAACGACGTGGGCAGCTCGAATGACTCCGTGTTCTGCAGGAGCTGCGAGGTGCTGGCGGTGGGCATGAGCGCCATCGACGTGCTGTTGCGCAGCCCACTCTCCTTCACCCTCTCCCTCAGCCTCACCCAGTCGTACTCCGACGCGCCGGGCTCCACGCCCCACAGGTCGAACTGCAGCTTGCCCTCACTGGCGGGGGAGCCGGCAAACGACGAGTAAGGGCCGTAGACCTCGGCGAGCTCCACGCTGGCCAGCACGGCTGCATGATACATAGTCTCGAAGATCCGCACGTTGACCTCCCTCGCGCCCGAGGACTCGAACGGCAGCCGCAGCGCATACAGCACGTCGCAGAAGCCCTGGACGCCGATGCCGATCGGGCGGTGCCGCTTGCTGCTCGCTTCGCACTCATGCGTCGGGTAGATTGTGGTGTCGATCACCCGGTCCAGGTTCTTGGCCACGGCCATCGTGACCGAGTGGAGCTCCGCGTAGTCCATGTACGCGGGCGATCCGGGGCCGTCCTCGTACTTCACGAACCTGCTCAGCGCCACCGACGCAAGCACGCACACCGCCGTCTCCTCCGCATCGGAGTAGAGCGTCACCTCGTTGCACAGGTTCGAGTTCTTGATGGTCCCCAGATTCTTCTGGCCACTCTTCGCGTTCACGGCGTCCTTGGCGGAGATGTAGGGCGTCCCGGTCTCGATCATGGACCGCAGGATCAAGTCCCACAGCTGACGCGCCTTCATCTTGCGCCGGGCGATGCCTCGCTCCTCGTACTCTCGGTACAGCCGCACGAAGTCGTCACCGCACGCGTCGCTGAGCCCCTGCGCCTCGTTAGGGCACATGAGCGACCAGTCCTCGTCCGCCAGCACCCTCCGGAAGAACTCGTCGGGCACCCAAAGCGCCGTGAACAGGTCCCTCGCTCTCGCCTCCTCCTTGCCCGCGTTCTTGCGGATGTCCAAGAACTCCACGATGTCGCCGTGCCAGGGCTCCATGAAGACCGCCACCGCGCCCTTGCGCACCCCCGCCTGGTCCACGTGACGAGCCGTCTCGTTCAAGACGCGCAGGAAGGGCACGAGCCCCTTGGAGGTGCCCCCGCTGCCCCTGATGTAGCTGCCCTTGGCGCGCACGAGGCTGCAGTTCGTCCCGATACCCCCCGCCATCTTGCTGATCTGCGCCACGTGCTTGACCAGGTCGTACATGCCGTCGATGCTGTCTCGCTCGGCCGTGTCGATCTGATTCAACAGCATGCAAGACGAGAGCTGAGGCATCCGCGTGCCCGCATTGAATAACGTTGGCGTTGCGTGCGTGTAAAAACGGTCGGACATCAGCCCGTACGTCTCGAGCGTCTTCTTCAGATTCAGCAACTCGCCGCGCGCGCTGTTGATCCAAGCCGCGACCCGCATCAGCATGTGCTGAGGACGCTCCCGGATCACGCCGCCCTGGGCCTTCAGGAGGTACATCTTCTCGAGCGTCTTGATCCCAAAGTAGTCGTAGTTGTAGTCCCTGGTGTAGTCGATCGCCTCCTCCAGCACCTCCAGGAGCGCCTCCTCCTCGGTCAGCATGGCGTAGAAGCGCGCGTCGAGCCTCCCCTCCAACTCCCTCACGGACCCCCCGAAGGTAGACGTCGTCGTCTTGTGCAGGTTGCTCACGACGATTCGCGAGGCCAAGACGCCGTACTCTGGATGGAGGCTCTGCATGGCCGCCGCCTCCTCGGAAGCCAGCTTGTCGAGCTCCACCGTGGTGATGCCATCGTAGATCCCGGCGCAGACCTTCTGCGCGACCTTGTGCGGGTTCACCCCCTTCAACGGTGCACCCGTGCACAGAGGGTCGTCGTCCACGACGCAGTCTCTCGACTCTCGGGACCGACGGGGGTACGGCTGGAAT